AGGAGGAGGAGGAGGAGGAAAGAGCTTGAATTTGAGTCACAGGGAAAGAAGTCAAAGGAGAAAAAGATTAATCTTCTGTTGTTCCTTTTTAATTGAAAACTCTTCATCAGCACGTACTTTACACCTGATGTACATGTGACGAGCTCGAATCAGCAAAAATATCAGCTAGTTTATGGATTCATGAGTCATCCTGCAGTTTACAGCCTTATTTTGTGTTAATAAATTGTTAATTGTAATTTAAAAAAAGCTGTTTTGTATAATAATACATAATTTTCCACCACTGCGCTCGGTATATTCTTTATATACACTCTGTATATGCTCTGTCAGCTCCCTTTGCTCTGTTTCCAGTTGTTCTTTCCTAATATGTAAACTGCTTGGCACTCTGCCTAAAAGCTCACTTCCATGTCACAGTCCATCTAACTTGTGGCTGTTTGCCATTGACTTCAGTGTAAATATTAAAATGAAGTTACACTTTAGTTATCGTCTCGGGGGGGAAACGTTTGACCCACCCAAATTATTTAAGATCAGTGGGCAGCCACAGTGTAACGCCAGGGGAGCAACTACTAATACATCCAGCCATTTAAAATCCATTTGTCCTTTTTCTCTGTGAGCAGGCCAAGTATGACGCCAACAAGGAGAAGAAGCTGCTGCCCAGCGCCAAGCAGGACCTGATGTCCTTCGACAACCCGGCGCTGGAGAAGATCCAGGCCAACGGGTCAGTGCCTTTCCCCCACGGCTCAGAGCAGCAGCACAGCTGGAACAACGTGCTGACCGACCACTTCCAGTACAGCCGGCAGGCCTACACGACAAACAGCAGCAGCAGCAACCACCAGTACGTGGTGTAAAGGAGGAGTCTGTCCTCACTCTGGGTCGCTGTCATAGACATTACTGTGTGTAGCCGCCCTCCCAGCAGCGAGTCTTCACAGCCCAGCACACGAGACTGAAGGCAAGTGCTGTTTGTTCTGGATAGGAAGAATGAGATAAGTCAGTCATGTGACCTCTCCCACGCTCCTCCCCGTCTAAACTTCACTTTCTGACAGCTTCACTGTATGTCATTGTGTTTTTATTGCTTTGGTTCGGACTGTATTGGATGAGAGGAGACAAAACTTAACTCACCTGTTTTCAGACGTCGTGGTGACGGAGTCAGACAGGAATGTGCCACAGCAGGTGGACATGGGGAAAGGTACCTGATGATGATGATGATGATGATAATAATTTGCACCTGACTGTCTGGAAATGTCTGAATTTCGTTTTCACAACCAGCCATAATTTGTTTTGGTTATTTTGTTGACTTTCAGAGGAAATGATGTCGGCTGTAATGACTGACTCTGACCTGCGTGCGGTCTGTTACATTTTGTACCAAACAAAGCTCGGTGGGAAGACCTGAACGTGTTGGTTTTAGGTATTTCATGTTTAGGATTGTCATTCTTCTTCATGAGGCACCTGTAATGATGTGAGGAGAAACAGTCCTCAGTGAATATAAAGTGTTCCACTCTTCAGAAGCTTGAGGCAGAGAGGACTTGTTTGAGGACAGTGGAAGACTTTAGGCGGTGATCTGCTGCCTGCTGGGTAGTTTGTGGTCATTCAGTTTATCCAGTCGTTTGTTTTTTGGCTAAATTCCTCCAAAAATAATCACATTCCCATTAGCCTCCGCTGTACTTTGTGTTAGCAAAAGTCCGCACTCTAGCACGCTATAGTAACATGTTTGATGAGGTAGCCCGCTAACAGTAGCATTCAGTTCAAAGCACCGCTGTGCCTGAGTGCAGCCTCACAGCTGTAGACTCATAGTCTGGGTTCAGTGTACAGGAGATGCTGTTGTACACATGAATTTGGCTGCATTCACTTTCCAAAATGGTTGAAAATTACAAGTGCCTGATGAAGAAAAATGCCCAAATTAAAATAAAAAAACAACATTAATTGTGTCTGCATGAAGCTGCTCAGCTCATGAACTTGTTGCACACATAGATCAGTCAAATGTCTGTTTTTAACGGCCACTGTCAAAGAAGTAGCTATTCTCAAATACACACACTCTCTCTGTCTCTCTCTCACACACTCA